GAGAGAGAGAGAGATCTATCCTGGAGTCATTTTACTGTTTAGAAAATTTTCCTAGCCATGAAGCCCTGTTACTGATATAGACAGGTAATATGCTCAGTACTTTTCTACCCCTGTCCTTCAAAGCACTTCTGGTACTTCAGTGGTTTTTACTGATCCACCAACAGCTAAAGAGGCTGTGCTACAAACTAGCTGAGTGGAAGACACATTCATCCTTCTTCCTCCAGCTGCTTTGATCATCATTTATAGCATCTCATAACTGTAGTTTTCAAAAGTTTGGATTGGGCTTTTCAGGTCCTTTTGTGGGGGCAAAGGAAGTTTTCTGGAAATTCCATTATAGTCAGCTTCTCTGGGGAAGTTGTTTTTAAATCCAAAGACTTGAACCACATTCCCTGCACATGAACGTGTTTGCTTTTTTTCTTTTCCCTCATCGTCTCCTTCCCATCTAGTACCATTATATTTACAAACATCTGCATTTTTAGAAGGGTTTTACCCATTTATTATTATTTTTTATTATTCAAGAACTGCTGACATACTAGGGATGTAGTAGAGTATAAAACTTGAAAAATGCAGATGTTGAAGGAATAATAGGTATTTTGTGCTTTAATACTTTGTGGCAGGATTGTACTATAAGCAGATGAATCAAACAACTATGTAAATCACAAACAAAAACTAAAAATGAACCAAAGTGAAAAGGATACATTCCAGGCAGTATCTTTCTATTGTAACCTGTTATTTAAGGGAATACTAGTGATTTGTTCTAAATAGGATGTAAAACTTGTTCCAAATTACTCTTCCTCAGTCCTGCCTGCCAAGAAAATGTAACTGTGATATAGCAACCCTTCCCAGGTATATTGGCAGGTATATGTGTGATCTCAGAATACACAGGTGACATAGATATGATATGACAACTGGTAATGGTGGATTCATTTACATTGTTTACACTTCTATGACCAGGCCTTAAGGGAAGGTCAGTTTTTAAAAAACCAAGTAGTGTCTTCCTACCTATCTCCAAATAAATGTCAAAAAAGAAGGGTGTTTGTGCTTCAGCTTTGTTTTTGCTCAGTAATACAGTCAAGCAAGTTTGTTTCCAAGTGACCTGTTGAGCTGTGTAAGCATTTTTGTTTATTTCAAATAAAATATATTTGTATTATGTGTCATTCATACTATCCATTCATATCACACTATCCTCTGTATCAGGTAGTCCAATAGAAATATACCTGTTTTGTTCTTAAATTGTCTGAGTCTCTCCTTTTCAATCCATCTCTTCAGTTTTTGTTCTCAAGGTAAGATAGAACTGTGTTTGGTCTTACTTGATGAGAATGTTCAGGGTTTCCGAAATTGGTTCCTACCTATTACATATTCAGCGATTATCCAAAGACTTGGAAAGAACAGTTTTTTGTTTTTGTTTTTGTTTTTTTTGAGCATTGTCTCTATGGATAATACTGCTCTTCGCCCAGAGGCTACGGATGGTTCACAGGTTTTTTGGTTTTTTTTCTTTTAAGATTTTATTTTTAAGTAATCTCTACTCCCAACATGGGCTCAAACTCAAAACCCCAAGATCAGGAGTTGCATGCTCTACCAACTGAGCCAGCCAGGTGCCCCAAAGTTTTTTTGTTTTCCATTTCTAGTTATCTTCTCTGTCATTGAGAAAGCAAGGCCCAAGCATGGTTGTGGTCACTAGGCAGGAAGTAGAAATGAAAGAATCCCTGACCTTGGGTGATATTTCACATTGACTTAACTCTAAATGCAGCTTCCCTTCCGTGCAAATTGGACTT